TTTTTGTCACATACAGCAAACATCTCCTCACTATCCGCTGGCTGCCTGTCCCCTGAACACACTGTAAAGAAACGCGATCTCTGTGGACAGCCCACTGGGCCCAGGCTCCACAAACAGCAACAAAAACAAACTGCCGCAACCTGCTCCCCGAAACATGACAAACAGTTCCAGCCAATCACCGACAAGAAGGACTTGGGGGCGGGGTTTGGGGGGTTAGTGCGCAGCAGAGCCATATAGATCTCTATATGGCTCTGGTGCGCAGATGAGGAGGCACTCCCCCCCGCGAATTTTTTTTTTGCAGGGCGGTAGGGGAAGACTCATTAATATTCATTGGGGAACTCATCCCTGATTGGCTCGCCGTAACACATCGCCGCGAATTCGTGTCTTGATAGTTCCATTCAAGAGTTCATTCTGTTCTGTTTCTAGAAGTGGTGAGCATAATGGCAGGATTTATTAAAGCTTGCAACATTTGCCAGACACTTGGCAACTTTGAGGAGATGGAGCTGCTTGAGGTTAGGTGTAGATGGATAAAAATAAAACAAAACAAAAAAAGTGTTGTTGAAGCGAGGATAATGTCAAACTCCTTATCTTAATGGGGCTCCATGTATTGCTAGGCTGTTAGCAAACAAATAATACTACTTTGACATTAAGTCAACATCTTATTGTGTTCTATTGGCGTTCCAACCCCTTTTTTCCCCTCAAGTAGTACAGAGGGTAGACAAACAACCTCTTCTGTGCGGATTTTAAATGTATAGGTCCCATTGGCAAAGTTTAGTTGGAGGCTATTAGGCAAAAGCATTACCTAAACAATTTAAACAAACAACATTGACATTTAAAAGGAAAGCAACTTCTACCATGCATGGAGCACTAACTTTAAGGCAGAGATAGTTTACAGAATGTAGGATATGTGTTAATGTTAAATGATATTTGGGTGACACCATGCATTTGCCTACTCTTTAAATGTTTTTGGTGCTTCGACAGAAACTCCTCCCTGAGGACTATGAACACTATATCTGTTTATTGGAGCCTCTTGAGGGTAAGAACTGCAACATTTCTCTAAAAGTAAGACTTCAAACTGAGGAGGAGGTTCACAGATGGCTTCAAGCCTTTCAAAAGTCATCACAAACGACATGGCGGGTGAACAAAAGCTACCCTGGGGAACGACAAAGGAAGAACATGTACAGAGTAAGTGATTCCATAGCAGGTGCATTCATTTATTGTTGCAAGGGTTGAGCCAAAACCTTAATTGAATGTGTTTGAAGGTGGACCTAAGATGCTAACACAACACACGGCATTCTTCCTCGAAAAAAAATACATCCTGTCCTGCTGTGATGTATGTTGTTCTCAAGAGGAAAAGCTTTTCGCAGAACAGAAAGTCCAGGTTAGAATTTAGATTAAAATAGATTTGCTACCCTAAAAAACAGGCTTGCTGTTTTGTAAATAAAGTCACTCTCTGTCTCAGTTTTCTAAATAATGTAATAACAGGCTGGAAAACTGGGTGGGGCTTTCTGGGATAGTCCTAAAATGGTTCAGGTCATACTTAGGAGGGAGAGGTTATGTGAGTATAGGAGACCATAAGTCTGAGTGGACATCCATGACATGTGGAGTCCCTCAAGGCTCAATTCTTGCATCACTCCTATTCAACCTGTACATGCTCCCAATTAGCCAAATAATGAGAAAGAACCAAATCTCTTACCACAGCTATGCAGACGACACGATGAGTGAATGCATACCTTCAGATTCTCAAGGTGAATGCATACCTTGACGCTAGGGGTCTAGCAACTAAAAATCAAGTCAGGAATCTTGGTGTGTCTCTAGAGTCAGACCTTAGTTTCAGTAGTCATGTCAAATCAATAACTAAATCAGCATACTATCATCTGAAAAATATTGCAAGAATTAGATGCTTTGTTTCCAATCAAGACTTAGAGAAACTTGTGCATGCTTTTATCACCAGCAGGGTGGATTATTGTAATGGACTCCTCACTGGCCTTCCCAAAAAGACCATAAGACAGTTGCAGCTCATACAGAACGCTGCTGCCAGGATCCTGAGCAGAACCAGAAAATATGAACATATCACACCAGTCCTCAAGTCTTTACACTGGCTCCCTTACATTTAGGATTGATTTTAAAGTGTTATTACTGGTATATAAATCATTCAATGGGCTAGGACCTCAATATATTGCAGATATGCTCACTGAATATAAACCCAACAGATCACTCAGATCATTAGGATCACATCAGCTAGGAATACCAAGGGTTCACTCTAAGCAAGGAGAGTCTGCTTTTAGCTATTATGCCAGCCGCAGCTGGAACCAGCTTCCAGAAGAGATCAGATGTGCTCCTACAGTACTCACATTCAAATCCAGACTCAAAACACTTCTGTTTAGCTGTGCATTCACTGAATGAGCACTGTGCCACTGTTCGTCCAACTGTTTTTACTGTATTTTATTTTTTATTCCAAACTTTTTTAATTATTCTTATTTTTTTTATTATTTTATTTTCTCCTATGTAAAGCACTTTGAATTACCATTGTGTATGAAATGTGCTATATAAATAAACTTGCCTTGCCTTGCCTAATATATGTAATAATCATTTTATTGTCCTCAGATCTGCTGATTTACACATAGAAGAAGGATTATGTCTTTACATCCACCTGAAACATCAACATAATCACCTGCTTATGTGTGCTGAGGCTATGAGGTACCGAGATGTTGCACCAGAGACAATCAACAAACTACAGACTCTTTTTCAAAGTGGCCACTCTCCCTCCTCTGCTTTAAATACACAGAAATACGACCTTCAGGAGGAAATGGGCGACTCATACGTCTTTGCAGCTGCTGATCACTCGATTTGTCCAGATCTAAGTTTCTGTTTTAGGTAAGTAAAAGAAAAACATACAATTAGAACATTTTAAGAATGTGATCACTATTATCAAGTTAAAGATTATGTGATAATGTTGATAATGTACTTGATATAACGTACTAAATCCTGTGTATAACTGTCATTTCAGGCTGTATTACAAAATTTTTAAGAGGTTGTACGGGGAGTTATCCGGGGACGCCATGCTCACCAGCTTACAGGCATCACTTCAATATTCTGCCATGTTTAAGGCACAAACTGATAGGCTATGTGGTTTTTTAATGTACAAATAAATGTGAGCACTGTGCATTTGTACTAGAAGATAGGCGTTAATTTTGCGTTAATTTGTAAAGGACAAAATACAATGCATAATTTTTAAATCCATAAAATAACTCATTTTACATTCTGCCATGTATGTGCATGTTGACTTCCGCCTTGTTCACATTCTTGCACATAGCGATTCAAAAGAGATGTTTCCCCCCTTTATAATAAGGTATGATAGAAGTGGTTTAGATTCTTTATTTTGACTACTAATATAGAAAGTTGAAGAGTTAATTGATTATATAAAATTCAATGAAGGGTATAATCTTTGAACTACAGTAGTTATCTGCATGTCTCATCCATGAAGGTGCAACAATGTTGGGGGTTTTGAGAACCAGAACCATGCTAACTGAGCAAGTTTACTATATGACTAAAGAACTTCAGCTATAGTGTGTGTCCCCTTTATTAGTATGCCTGGAGGTGGTAAGTAGCTAATAATAAAAAAAAAATAAAAAAATCAAATTCACTCAGTATTCCATGATTTCTAATTCACTACTCTCTCAATTACAATTGAATACAACTGAACTGTATTCAGTTGTGTAGGAATACATTATTATAGTCCAATACATTATTTAAACTAATTATTATGTTAAAAAAAAATAAGATTTATGTGCCACCCCAGACTGTTTGCTGGCCCCTGGCTGGCCACCCCTATGAAAAAATCCTGGCTCCGCCACTGTCTGTAGGACCAATATTTTATGAAATTTTTGCTCTGTCTAAAGCAGTCTATAGTCTATAGGAAGCAGTCTATAGTGATTCCAGTGCCATAAAAGCAGAATGTACAGATATTAGATGACTTTAGACCTGTGGTGCTCACATCCTTAGTTATGAAATGTTTTGAAAAATTAGTTAAAGGTGCTCTAAGCGATGTCACGCGTTTTTTAGGCCAAAACATTTTTTGTCACATACAGCAAACATCTCCTCACTATCCGCTGGCTGCCTGTCCCCTGAACACACTGTAAAGAAACGCGATCTCTGTAGACAGCCCAGGCTCCACAAACAGCAACAAAAACAAACTGGGCTAACCCGCTCCACGAAACATGACAAACTGTTCCAGCCAATCACCGCCAAGAAGGACTTGGGGGCGGGGTTTGGGGGGTTAGTGCGCGGATGAGGAGGAGGGAAGGTCGAGCTAGCCTCCGTTTTGTTTGACAATACTTTAACGTCAACAAGAAGTGACGTCACCCGACATTGCTTAGAGAACCTTTAAGAGAGAAATTATGCGAAGGACTCAGAGATCTCGGGATCCTCTTCAATTTGCGAACAGGGCTAAACGAGGTGTAGAGGATAGCAACTCTATTACATTTACTTAGCTATTAGATAAGCCGAAAACATTTGTTAAATTACTTTTTATTGATTTTTCATCTGCTTTCAACACCATTCAGCCATATATTTTAGTTGAGAAACTCATTAAAGAACTTGGGGGTGGATTTTAATCTTGTAGGATGGATTTTAAAAACTTCTTCTGAACTTCATCCCTACTTTGGTCTTCGTCCTGTACTCCGTTTGATCAGCACACATGCAACAAGTGTCATTATCCCGAAGCAAGAGCAATGGAAGATTACTGCTTCACAGCATTGTCCTGTGACACTAAAAATCTCTTAACTTGTGAACACAAATATCTCTTGAAACCACACAATCATAAGATTAAACAACAACAGCAAGCATTCCGAGAGCAAGGAAAATAAGTAATGTGAAGAAAATTAATAAACGATTATAAGATTAAATGGAATGATTAAACGATTATGATTAAAGGATTATAAATGAATAAAGAAAAAATAAAACACAACAAATGTATGGTAGATCTCTTGAAGAACACACACACAGGTTGCTATTAAGAATCCTTAGGTCCTTTACATATAAATTTCATTTTGGTGGAGCAGTGGTTGTCATTAATATTTGCAAATTTTGTTATATGTGCACAGTCCTCTCCTCCCTCGTGCGGATGTCCTTGCCAGTCATCCGGCTGCCCAGGTCCCCAGTGTCTGTAACCAAAGCCAAAAAATGCTTATAGAAAACTTATTTTTGTAATGTATCCCATGTCCATGACCAACAACAACTATTTAAATGGCTGAAAGGTTGTTTAATCAAGTTGCATGTACTTAACAATCATTATCTTGAATTGATTGCTTCCTATCCTACTTTCGTTTACAAAGGAAATAATGGAAAATGAATTTGATATGGAAAACTGTGACTGCATAATTCAACTCACACTTTGTCCATGGTGCAATTAGTGTCATCCGCCCATCTCCACTGGCCTGTGATCTGATCTGTTAGACCGATCCAGTATTCAAATGGTTTGGCCAAATGGGTAACAAATTCCTAGGAGGAGGGATAAAAAAATACTGAAAGGCAGAATAAAAGGTATTAACCCTTTTCATGCACAGATACCCAGTGGTATTTCCTGTATACACACAATGGTTTACGTAACAACCTCGTTTTCCTGTAGGCATAGTGGTTACAGTGAAAACCTCCTAAGTTTTCCTTATAAAATTGTTATATTATAGTTGTAGCTATAGGGATGCTCATAATTAACTGGTTAACCAAGAGCAAGAATTTTGACGGTTAATACATCAGTTAAACGGTTTAAAAAGTAGGTAATGCAAGTAATTTTAAAAGTAATTTTTCAAGACATTTTGAAAACGTTAAACATATAAAATTTTGCTTTTAAGAGAAAAACAGGTTGCGTATAAGTTACATTTTATTGTAACATTAAAGTAAAATACCGGTAAATAAAGCGAAATCTCAAAAAGAAACACTATAAACATGCAGGGTATCCGCGGGGTCTTGAAAAGGATTAAAAGGTGATAAATCAATTTTGGGAAAATTAAGACCCTTAAAAAGTATTAAAAAAAGTCTTATCACGGCTTTATAAAGTCTTAAATTCTGAAAGTATTTTTTCTGAATTAGTTGTCCAACAGTTTGAGTCCCAAAAACATCGTAAAAGTGTGTAAATTTAGTCATTTTTATTAAAAAAACGAACAGGTACATAAAAAACTAGGCTGTTGTGGGGGCGTTCGTAAATTCCCTCTGAGAAAACCAGAGCGGGCGGAAGTTCAAAAGCACAATGTAAGCTCTGCCGTTCCCAGTGCGTATTACAACGCACCGAAATGTTTTAAAGGCACACTATGCAAGAATTGTACCTTAATATAACAGCTTCAAAGTAATTTCGGTGGTAAACAAACTCATAGTAGGGCGAATCATCCTGGTAGTAAAGCTTGGGGGAGACGCCGCTGGAAAAACCAGCAATGCAAGTTTGAGAGGAGCGCCCCCGACAAATCCCGCGAGAATCACGACATGGTTTACGGCTACGACGCCACACACATCAACAACAACATATGAAACATGGAGACACTTGACCGCGTGAGGAACCAGACAAGAGTCCCACTCGGTCAGGCTTTTCCATAGATGGGGCTTTTCACTCGTTGGCGCGAGCTAAAAAGCAGCACTGGATACAACAGTGATGCTGACCTGGCGATCTTGTTGATGGAATAGTAAGTAAATATTTCTAAGTTTGTGTGCATTTTATTTTGTGATTTCACCGGAATGAATAGAGAGAGTCCGCAACGGCGATAGATTGAAGAGCGCGTCCGAGTGAAGACTGCGCGCGCGCCGCCACATAGGGGGACCAGACGTCCCGAAAAATTCGTGACAGTCCCGAAATCTAAGCTGTTGTCCCGAATCCGGCCCTAATTGTCCCGAAAATTATACTAAAGCAAAATCTTGAGTAGTTATTGTCTGATAAAATATTAAAAACTGTCCGTGGAGGTTGAGTCGGCCCCCGCCGGCGGCTCATTGGCTGCAGAATCTTTTCTGTTTCTTTTTTTTTTAAGTTCTACAAAGATGTAGGCGTGAATTTAGATATACATTGATAAGCAAATTTTCATTCATTCGTTTCGTTGACATGGCTGGTGTACCGGAACCACAACACGCCGTTTTTTAGTGGCAGACTAAAGACTAATGACAGACTGTTGATCTTTGAAAAAAAAAATTTGGGTTCAGGTTTGAAATTCATTATCTTTTATTATAGGCTATGTAGTCTAATATCATAGTAGGCCTACCCATAAACAACCCCTAGATCTCATATTTAAAGGCACACTATGCAAGATTTGTACCTTAATATAACAGCTTCAAAGGGGTGTCAGGCCGTGAGTGCAGAGACGCTCTGGTGAGTGGTATTTAGACAGTAACGTTAAATACAAGTACTCCACAGCGACTCTAGGGGTCGCTGCTTGACAAAAAACGGAATTCCTGCATAGTGTGCCGTTAAGAGAAGGTTGATGAACGCAAAAAAAAGAATGGGGAAGTTTTTTAATAAACTTTGCTTTGATTTACTATCCCAGCCTATTTGTTTTTTTTTTGTATTAGAGTGGTCTATAGTCTTTATCACAAACTAAAACTGTTAAGTTAAAAGTATCACTGATGTAAATGGTTACAGCTTGAAGTGGCGGTGAGGTATTAAAAAATATTGAGAAGGTCTTGAAAAGGTATTAAAATTACTTCAAGATTCCTGCATATACCCTGACATAGCTATAGGCTATTTTAGTTCCCCTAACGCCACAACAAATCCTTTAAATGTTACAATATTCAGAACGGAACAAGAATGAAAAATAAAAGTAGCTTTATAAACGTCAAGACAAAACAAAAGCATTTAAAGCGAAAACAGAAACCTGCGTTGGGCCAACGTAGCCTGACTCTCTCATTTGGCACGATGTTTCCATATTTGCGATGTATTTGGATGCTGAACTTATTTTATAAACTAGGCTTTGTACTTCACACGCGTTCAAATATCCACGCAAAACATCATCCTTCACATGCTCAGAAATGTGCGTGGCATAATAACACCACAGTGGGACAGGTTGTAAATTTTAGGACATTGAAGCATAGACAGTGCATTAAATGTGCAGTTTGTAATCTTTAGCGGCTTCAAGTGGTCAGTTTGCGAATTACAACCAACAGAAGTTAAGGTGGCCGACAGGAAATTATGTCGTCGCAATGAATGGTTGGTCTTTAAGGTCTTTACACCACTGAAAACATAGTTAAGCACACTACCGTTCAAAAGTTTGTGGTCAGTGAGAATTTTATTTTTATTTTTTGGAGGAAAGAAATCAATACTTTTATTTATCAAGGACAGTAAAGACATTTATAATGTTACAAAAGATTCTATTTCAAACAAATGCTGTTCTTTTGAACTTCCTATTCATCAAAGAATCCAAAAAAAAAAAAAAAAACTGTACAACTGACAGACCAACAACTGTTTCAACATTGATAATAATAATAAATGTTTCTTGAGCATCAAATCCTCTTATTATACTGATTTGTGAAGGATCATTTGACACTGAAGACACTGACACTGGTGATGCTGAAAATTCAGCTTTGATCACAGGAATAAATTACACTTTACTATATATTCACACAGAAAACAGCTGATTTACACTGGAATAATATTTAATACTATAACTGATTTTTGTTGTATTTTTAATCAAATAAGCGCAGCCATGGTTAGCAGAAGAGAATTCTTTTAAAAGTATTTAAAATCGTACCGACCCCAAACTTTTGAACGGTAGTGTATATGATATTGCATTTCTGTCAACAGATCCTATTTTACACAATGCACCTACAGTGAAATATATTTCACGTATTTATATATAATTTTATTCAGTTTTTTGTTGATTGAAGCGCTACTGCATGATGTGACGTGCTGTTATTTGCACATGCAAAACTAAAGCCCTAAAAAACAAATGTTAGTAATTTTAATGGGTCACAGACACTAATCCATTTTATTTAAAATGTAATTCAGATTTAAAAATCTTGTCGGTTAATGATCAGTTAATGAGCTTCGATTGTCGGTTAGGGAAAACCCCCAATAAACATCCCTAGTTGTAGTAGCTAATCTTTAAAAAATATATATATATAAATCAGCATTTTGCAACATACCAGTTTCCTTCCATAACACTCACAGCGAAAACATTACCTCCTATCCGCTACTTAAAACACCCTAAAAATGGAAACATTCCTACTTTAAATTATAAAGCAATATGAGAGGTAATAAAAAAATAGGTGGTTTCTCACAGTGACTACGCCTGAAAGGGTTAAGGAAAAGTGTGTGTGTGTGTGTGTGTGTGTTTCTGTTACTCACCCACTCCTTCTTAGAGCCTTCTTCTATTTTTAAGAGTAACGCGCCCTGCTCTTCGCAGTAATCTTTTGCTTGGGTCCAGTTCATGGAGTGACTAGAGAACAGGTAACAGCTGTTGCTGAACTGGATCCACTCAGTTCCAGTACAGCCGGATGTAAGTGCGTCTATAAGAGGACAAGACTAAATTAACACTTTATTTCCCAGACAAAACATTCTGTCATCATTTACTCCACCTCTCTCTGAGACACTAGTTAGTCAACTCCTCTTGTGACTCAATCAAGGGTTTTACGACACAACACCATTTGCATTGCAAATTTTCATTTTAAATCTCCATATAAACCCTGGGCATGACAAGTGATCTCTGTAGGGAAGTTTAATTAATATTTCGCTGTATTAATGTTCTATGATTTTAATACCGTCTGAATCAAACACATCCGAGTTTTTCCTCACCCAACCTCACAGCAAATCACTTACTGTTTTTCATTTTATGCAAATTAACGTAATTTAATCCTGCTCAGAATGTCTGTGATTATTGTATATTATTTCTTTGGACCATTACAGATTTAGAGTTTGTTGCCAACAAAATAAAAGCATTAAAACAGAAACTGCACAATATTGCACCTTTAATTTAGAGTTTACTCACTGGTTAATGATAGTTTATAAGACAAAGATTGAACTAATGATCTCAGTTCCTCCACTGTATTCTTCACGTCCTTCAGTGAGCTTGACATGTCCACTTCAGCCGGAGACAAAAGCCAAACAGAACAATATATCAGCCTGATTACCTCCAATATAAGAAAAGCACAATTCTGAAGAACATGATATTGCATGAATACAGTTAGAATTTTTTTAATTACTTTGTGTATGTTGAAAAATCAGAGGAGACCTAACCCTGTCCCGGTTGAGTAGTTGAAACCTAAGAGATATTACCGCAGTGTCCAACTTGTCCATCAGATCCTTTTGGTGCTCTGTAGGAGAAAGAAATAGAAATATACAGCTTCTTAAATATGAGGATTATTCAAAGCTGAATGTACGTCCAGCACTCACCCAGCATCTGTTGGTTGTCCTCTTGTTTTGATGCGAGTGAACTCAGTGAAGAGCCGAGATCAGTCATCAAGGTCTCAATATTAGACAACTTCTTTTTATGCATTTCTTATGGAGAGTAAGAGGGACAAATGATAAGTAAATAATCAATATTCTTATGCACTTATCAAATCTTAGAGTATTTGCAGTTTCAAAGAGAAGAGATTTTTAACAATCATGCCCTGCTGAGAAACTTAAAGGGTTAGTTCACCCAAAAATGAAAATGATGTCATTAATGACACGTCAGCAGCGTCTTACGTCAGCAGCGGCACTGAACGCATGTTCCACAACAGAACCAGAATACACACACACACACACACCAGACACACGTCAGCAGCGTCTTACGTCAGCAGCGGCACTGAACGCGGATCCACAACAGAACCAGAATACACACACACACACACACACACACACCAGACACACGTCAGCAGCGGCACTGAACGCATGTTCCACAACAGAACCAGAATACACACACACACACACACCAGACACACGTCAGCAGCGTCTTACGTCAGCAGCGGCACTGAACGCGGATCCACAACAGAACCAGAATACACACACACACACACACACACACCAGACACACGTCAGCAGCGTCTTACGTCAGCGGCGTCACTGAACGCGGATCCACAACAGAACCAGAATACACACACACACACACACACACACACCAGACACACGTCAGCAGCGTCTTACGTCAGCAGCGTCACTGAACGCGGATCCACAACAGAACCAGAATACACACACACACACACACACACACCAGACACACGTCAGCAGCGTCTTACGTCAGCGGCGGCACTGAACGCGGATCCACAACAGAACCAGAATACACACACACACACACACACACACACCAGACACACGTCAGCAGCGTCTTACGTCAGCAGCGTCACTGAACGCGGATCCACAACAGAACCAGAATACACACACACACACACACACACACCAGACACACGTCAGCAGCGTCTTACGTCAGCGGCGGCACTGAACGCGGATCCACAACAGAACCGGAAGACAATACAATGCTGAATAAAGGCCTAATTTTTGTTATTTTTGGACCAAACTGTATTTTCGATGCTTCAACACACTCTAACTAACCCACTGATGTCACATGGACTACTTTGATGATGTCTTTATCTCCTTTCTGGACAAGGACAGTATACCGTACATACATTTACAATGGAGGGACAGAAAGCTCTCGGACTAAATCTAAAATATCTTAAACTGTGTTCTGAAGATGAACGGAGGTCTTACGGGCTTGGAGCGACATGAGGGAGAGTTATTAATGACATCATTTTCATTTTTGGGTGAACTAACCCTTTAAATCATGCAAACATTCATTGCATTAATGATTTGACCCCAAACAGACATTAGTTGTCACATTTTTCATGGAGGACATTTATGTTTAAACTTTGTCCTAAAAAGATTACAAAAGATCATGAATTATCATCCTCCTGATACTTCAGTTTTTTAAAAAAATGTATCCATAAATGGCCTAATAAAACAAAATAAAACATCAGTGTTAAAGTAGTCAAGACACTAACCGTTGGCCATTGTGTTACTTGATCCAGACGTGTTCACAGATGAACTCAGACTGGACACTAAGTTCTGCAGCTCAGAAACCTTCTTTTCTAAGTCACCTGCCAAAAACAAACAAACAAAAAAAACAGTTGTTATTAAAAGTCCATTACCGAAACTGATCTGTGATGATGATGATGATGATGATGATGATGAAGTTCTCACCTGTGATCTGGAAATCAGATTTGACTGAGGTGAGATCAGAAGTGTGGCTGCTCATCCAACTCTCCAGCATTGAGAACTTTCTTTCTTGATGTGAAACTTCAAACCAAAATAAACAAACAAACAAACAAACTATTTTTAATATTCATATGCTAATTCAAATAGTGTATTAAAGCTCAGAGCAAAGCAGTTCAGTTCATATCACAATTAAAGCAGTTTAGTAGCAATACACTAAAGAGTCTTTCCTTTAATCCACTCACAGATGACAGAAGTCATGATGAGGAAAATAATCATGCAAACTGTTCCTAGAAGCACAATGATGCCAGTTTGTCTGTTACATGAGCGACCTGCAGAAAACAGACACAATCCTTGATTCATTTATATTGGTAATATCACATATACAATGTCGACATGTAATAATTTAATTTTGCAATGCCATGTTTTAATTCATTTGTCCTCACATTTTAAGACATCATTCATGACTGTAGCAAAATGGTGCCGGAACAAGTGACATACCCAAGTTTATACTTAGAAGTTTGTTTCAATCATCATATAACCAGCAATAAAAAAAAAAGAAAAAAGTTTTTCAATTTGTCTTATTTAACTTGCTATTTGGTCTTTCTACTTGTGCAACTCTGTAAAAAAAATAAATAAATAAAAAAATATATATATATATATCCATAATTAGCATGAACATGATTAATTGTTGAAGCTCACTGGTTAAAAGAGATGAAATCCAGTATGTACCAACTTCCCCTGAGGAAGAAACATTCACAATTCCAATTACATTTTAAATATAAAAGTTGCTTTTGAAATAATGATTAAAAAAGTCTGTCATTAAAATAAATGTAATTGCGAAACATTTTCCATTTCACTAATGCTGTAAAAGCCTAAATTAATGCTTTAAGATTTCTCCAACTGATTGTGATATTGTAAATCTTCCAAACCTCTCCAAAATGATTTCTTTGGTTCACAGTCCATGTCCATTCTAACGTATTGTTCAGAACAATCCATTTTCTATAAAAAGGGACCAAAAAATGTGAGCAAATTTAACAGTCACTTGCTTCTTATAGTTGAAATTAAAAACACCACCTCCTATATATGAATAATTTATCATGTCCCTTAAAAAAAAAGAGTCACTTCCACATTCTGAGGAACTGATATTTAGGGTATTCAGGCTAGGAAGATTCTCTTTATTCTGTTACCCAGACACACACAGGAAAACATTTAATGCTTAAGATTTTTTTTTTTAAAATTGCATGTACATTTTCTTCTTGTCATGTCTACTTTAAATCATGCAATTAGTTGATTTGCCAACATGCAATTTATTGGTATTTTTTTAATAAGACTGTAGTTTTACAAGACTTCCCCTTTCTCCCCACCCAAAAGAAAGTGTCCCATTCCATGGATCTAGTTTTTCATTTCTGCTGCGTTCCAATTCGCCTACTTATACTACGCCCTAAAAGTATGTACTCTTTTTGTGAAGAAAAGTACATACTTTTGAGTGTGTAGTAAAGGAGTAGGCAAGCTTTGGGACATCCTACTTCGTCATCTTAAACGGACAGATCTGTCACCGTAAACTGCCCTGTCAATCATCACCACAATGAAAATCCTCCATTCAATCTAATATAATTTCTTACCATTTCGGAAAGAAATGTTGTAGCACGTTCATCTGCCAGTCGTGGGTCTTTCATGCCGAGACTCTCCTCATGTGTTTGGAATTTGACAATGCATTTAAAAGTTAATGGCTAAACGTATCTTTGCAAAAGTTCACAATGCTGCTACAGATGCAATATAATGTGGACAACATTGAATAAATACTTTTTCGTCAGGTTAGATACTGATAATTAAATTAATCACTCAAACCCCTTTATCTACACCTCTCTACATAACAGTCGGACTCGCGCGTCCTCCATGTCTGTAGTTTTTGAACACTTTTCATTCGTGTTTGTAGTTCTAACCGAATCCTCGTCCAACGCGCGATGGGTTGTGGGCAATGGGCTATATGCACGCATAACTTCCGCGTTTGATGCAAGGATGCTCTTGCGTTTCCGGTTGGGGAGATTTAAAGCGGAGGAAAACCGAGGAAAACGGGATTATGGCAGAGTCTTCAAAATTTACAGTCCTCTCGTCTTTGAAACGAAACTTTAATACCTTTAGATGTAATTTTATATATAGTTATGCTTATTTAATATAATAAACAAAGAAGCATAAACAAAATGAGGGGTGTCTGTTTTTGTGACTAACGTTTCTTTAGTATAGCAAGAGTATAAAAACCAATATAAATTCTCGGTATAGCATTGGACTCTACGATCGGCGGAAGTAATCCAGCATCCTTAGACCTTTACCGGAAATACCGCCGTGCATAGAGCCCATATTAGCCGTTAGAGTGTGCAATCTGTGCATCGATCTACTTCGGATTCTGACCGGGAATAATAGACCATCCGGGTATCGAAACACTCATTTCAACATACTACGATTTGGGACGTGCTAAATCTATTTTCGAATACTATATAGGACGGATAGTACGCGAATTGGGACGCAGCAGCATTCGTCTCTTTTAACTTGCTATTTGGTCTTTTTACTTGTGCGCCTCTGCAAACGTCTTAATTCTTTCTGAAGGCTGTGGGGAATTTTTCTTTCTAGCATTTAAAATAGCTCTTCTATTGAAATCATTTAGCTGAGGGAGCAAAACACTGCATTTGTGCTGAGCTTGGACTTTCAAACGTAAAAATATCCTGAATTAGGGAAGCGAGAGCAATTCATACGTAAAACTTGATCTGTAACTGTTCTAAGGATAATTTAATATCGAGCTGCTGGGCAAATAAAGACAGAATGTACAAATAAACAGAAGCAATAAGATGCTATTAGGAGCATAACGTTTCAGTCTGCCCTGAATAATCCTGTATCTTACTTTTAATACAGATACATGAAAATACTAATCATCAATCATACAATCACTCCTTTTACTGATAAGGAATTATGTAAAGTAAATATAAGTTTAACGCCACATTTGTGGGTATTTGACCTCATTCCTAGAGTTAGAAAAACTGGAAGTGTACAGGGCCATGAAATAAACCATTCAAATACACTCAAAAGTACAGCTAAAAACGTATCCATTATACATGCTCTCAGGAGATAGTGACACTAATTTGTTTAATGACCTTCGTTGTACATCAAGTCGTTCGACTTCCATGTCATGACCACAAAACACTGTGGAAAATACTTTCATAATGCATGCAATACAAATGTGTGAACCAGAGAGGAATGGTTTACCATCCACACAGAAAAGGAGTCTCACCTCAAAAAAGACTTAAAATATTACAGATCAAATAATTGCTTTTTAAATTCACAAAAAATACAAGCGTCCCATTTTTTTCCTGCAGCCTTTTCTTGAATTGTGTGTACCTTTAAAAAAAAAGATGTGAAATATTGTAATTTGATATAAAATGTAAATTATACATGATTTAATTACAATAAATTTTAATTAAAAACCAATACAGTACACAAAAAGAATCCAAACCAAAGTTTTATTGGAAGAAAAGGCCACAAGCACAAGCTCATTCTATAACACTGAGTACGTAAAGGACGTGCGTTCATTTCAGGTGGAGCGCTTCTGTAATTCATGCGAGTGAACAGAAAGAGACTTCTGCTTCTGGAATGAATGCAAAAACAAGAAAAAAGCAGAGACAACTGTATAAAAAAAAAAAAAAAAAAAAAAAAAAAAAAAAAGGATTAAAATGGAGAGAATAAAACTGGAGCTCTAAAAGAAGTCCACATCATCTGGAGCGTCTAAATCACGATATTCAATGATATTGCGAGGATCCCCACGCATCATTCTGGAAAAGACAGACGAAAAGGACATTTTATTAAAGCTCATCTATTAAGAGCTTAATTCAATATCACTCCTGTGTCCTCACTGCACTCAAATCAAAACTGAAATACAAATCAACTCACCGATTGTTTCTAGGTTTTCCGGGGTACCCGCCTTGCCCGCGGAAGTTGTCGTAGTTGCCCCTGCCGCCGCCTCCATACTGGTTCGGTGGGTAAGGAGGACCGCCTGTTAAAGATTGGAGAAACACCTCAATATGGCATAATTCAACATTGAAAAAGGTGACCGGGTTTAGATAAAAAATTTTTTTTAGATTTACTGATGCACTGGATTGAAATGGCCTGTTAAATGCACAAATTAATTAACACTGCATATTGATTATGGAAAACATAATTTTAAAAACCCTGCCATGTTGTAAATTCTCGGGATGCGCGATATATCAGCAGATATATATAAATTTTTTAATGTTATCTTTATCGGCCCGATAAGAAAAGTTGGCCTATATATATATATATATATATATATATATATATATATATATATATATATATATATATATATATATATATATATATATATATATATATATATATATATTAGGGCTGTCAGTTAAACGCGTTATTAACGGCGTTAACGCAAACCTATTTTAACGGCGTACATTTTTTAATCGCACGATTAACGGTCTTTTTGGCCTAGCAAACTTTGTCGTTTTTTTTCACATGCTTTTGCAACAGAACGGCATGCGCGGCCCTGCGCTATGAACCCCATTCATTTCAATGGCTTGCGCCGCGCGAGGACGTTTTGTTGCTTCGTCGACTAAAGTGCAAGCGGATCTAGCTAGACCGGAAACAAAACAACAGGCACGACGCGCACAAAATAGTAGGTTAACGTTAAGTTTTGAGTGGATGACGAGCGCGAGACGCCGAAATGGACGCCAATAAAACACCACTTGATGATGGCCAAGCACGCACACACACACACACACACACACACAGCTGATGCGAATTCTCCACCCCCTCGTCAATATCAGGACCTCGTCAGTATTTCTTTCACCCTTTTATT